TATATCTAAAGATTATTATGGTTCACTGTACCAATACTCACAGCCAAGAAGAATCATTATTGTGATTAATATGAAATAGGTATCTTCATAACTAGGAACACACTACACAAATCTACAATTTCTATCCATCAGGATACCAATTAAATTCACTTTGTTTTTCAGGAGTGTTTTACTTATTTATTCATCTTTGTATCCAATTTAAAAAAAAGAAGAATGTTGGTGTTAAGGGATTGACAATAAAATGAAACAAGCATGTGTCTGACACAGAAGATGTCAAAGTACACTTTTTGTGTCTATAAAATTAAAACAAACTTAAAATAGTTTGAACAATATGGTTTAGTAGCCTCTCTAAAAAACAAAAATCATAGTGAAAATTCTGTTTTTCTTAGATTTTATATAACTGCTCTAAAGGAATATTTGATAATGGTGGCATACTCTTGTGTAGCCATAATACTAGGAATGAGGTCATCATTAAGGAATAGGAGAGGAATCAGAACTGATACCCCTGCATTTGACAGCTGCCACTAACATCCAACTGTCTTTATTAATGAAGTCTATAGGACACATCCAATTTCTGTGCTTTGTGGAAAGTAGGAAGTTGTATTAACCGATTGACCTTGACAGGCATTAGCTACTTGCCTTTTCTCATTGCCATGAGAATTCAAGCTACAGTTTATGGAAGGATACAGGAAATTTATTTATGTAAAGAGAGAGAGAGAGAGAGAGAGAGAGAGAGAGAGAGAGAGAGACATTGGAACACACAGTTCTAAATGGGATGTCTCCATCAATCCCTCCCTCAGACCTCAGGGAACCTTACAAAAGAGCAGACACAGAGAGAAGAAAAAGACAGAGACAGACTAAAAGCTAAAAGCCACAAAATGCACCTTCATATACTTGTGTACATTTTTCTAAGTTTTGGTACTGAATTAAATCAGACCTTCCAAAGCAAAATGATTGGATCAAATTAACTAAACGCTTCTTTCACAGGCTTCTATGTCACTATGTTCACATCCACTGGTAATTAAAAAATACTCCATTTAAAGAGTAACAGAACTGTGCTGTTTTCTGGGATTTTGTTTTTTTACTTGGTTGTTGTTGTTTGTTTGTTTGTTTGTTTTTGTTTTGTTTTTTGTTTTTTTTGCTTTTTAAATGGAGTGTGCTGGATGTCTCTACAATTTTGTTAAAATGACTGCAGAACCTGGAAAAGCTGTTGCTGCTATTGATGCATAACATATTGTCATTACTGATATGGAAGACAAATGTCACACAATTTCAATTTTATGTGTAACCTAGAAATGATGAACTTATAGGAACAGAGAGCAGAATTGTGGCTATTAGGCTTCAATGTGGGTTTTTAACAATTGGTTTAAGGATATAAAACTGCAGTTGGACAAGAGGCATGGACTCTGTAAAGTCTTGATGTCTACTGAGAGCATGATAAATATGGTTGATAACAATATGCTATATTTTAAAAGTTGTGAGATAGCATACTTTAAGTGTTCTCAAAACAAAAATGATGAATATGTGTGATATAACATATTAATTGGTTTAATTTAGCCATGCCATTGTGAACATACTGTATTGTGCATAATTGTGCATGACTTTATTTATGAGCTAAATAAATGAGTGAAAATAAAGAAACTGCAATTCAAAGGTGCAGAAAACATATTCAACAAAATCATAGAAGAAAACTTTCCCAACTGAAAGAAAGACATGCATAGGACTGAACCAGGCCCCCTGAACAAGGGTGTTATTTAGGAGGCCTGGGCAGTCTATGGGGCCTCTGGCAGTGGATCAGTATTTTTCCCTATGAATGGACTTTAGGAGCCCATTCCGCATAGAGGGATACTCTCTCAGCCTAGACACAACGGGGAGGGCCTATGGCCCGCCTCAAATGATGTGACAGATTTTGATAATTCCCCATAGAAGGCTCCACCCTCCTTGAGGAGGAGAACAGGGAATGGGATGGGGGTAGGTGGGGGTCATGGGAGGATGGGAGGGAGAGGGAACTGGGATTGATATGTGAAATAAGATTGTTTCCAGATAACAATATGCTATATTTTAAAAGTCGTGAGATAGTATACTTTAAGTGTTCTCAAAACAAAAATGATGAATATGTGATATAACATGTTAATTGGTTTAATTTAGCCATGCCATTGTGAACATATTGTATTCTGTATCATAATTGTACATGAATTTATTTATGAGCTAAATAAATAAATGGAAAAAATATTGAAGAGATATGAAAAAAATAAAATAAAATCACTTTTCAATTTTTCACTAAGTTGGGATAGAAGGATAGGTTTCTGTAATTCAATATTCTGAATATAAAAATATTCATGAGTCTTGAGGATTTGCATATTTTGACTCAATTTGGTTGCAGAAAAATAAAATCTTGTTTCTTGGGTAGTTAAATCCTTTGTCTCCTGAAAATAAATTAAAACATTGCAGCCTGCTAGGCTTAAATTTGTGGTTATAAAATTTAGCCAAATCCAGTGACTGAGCATAATAATGGCGTTAAAAATGCTTATTCTTTAACTTCATTCAAAGCACTTGAAACATTTCAGAATTGAAATTAAATCTAATTTTTTTGATTTTGTAACTTTACATAATAATATGAATAAATTAAATACTCTTCAGCTTTATATACTTACTAAATACCTAATAGGTACAAAAACACTAAGCTATCACATTAGGAAATTCTACATTTTAAAGATGGTGGTTAGAAATCTCCAGTGTCCTTTGATTTCATTTACACTTAAGTAACCTTATAACTCAATATCTAAACCTGTTTCATTTTCTTTGTCCTTCAGTTTACTTGCCACTGAGTCTTATCCTCTAGTTAGATCATAAGAATCAATATCAATGAGATATATATAGTATATGGACTAGCATGTACTAGCTGCTACTATTATATTTTACCTATTATGTTTCCCCATTACCTAATCTACATTGTGGAGGGAGCTGACATTTATTTCCTCAGAATTTGCATTGGAGGTCCTAGAGGTCAGCACTAAAGCACATCAGGAGGGTGGACAAGTCAGTTAGGATGGAGTTTTTAGGTTGATCCATTATGTATGACATATGTTCAGATTTGAACACATACTTGCCTTTTGAAACAACAGAGTATGGAGATAAATTAGGAACTGCATGTTTCTACAAGACAAGTAATGAAACACTTACAGCAAATTATCAGAAGCTCAGGGACAGATATGGAACACACTTTTTCCCCTAGTGCTCATAGAAAACAATTCTTTGTTTTCTTTTTCTTTTTTTTTTATTTGAATTAGAAGCAACACTGTTTTACATGTCAATCCCAGTTCCCTCTCCCTCCCCTCTTCCCCTACAACCTTCCCCCCAAAACCCTACCTAACATATATCCTTTCTGCTCCCCCTGTAGGGTGAGGCTGTCCATAGGGAGTCATCAGTGTCTATCGAATCCTTTGGGATAGGGCCTAGACCCACGCCCCGTATGTTTTCGCTCAGGGAGTATCCCTCTATGTGGAATGGGATCCCAAAGTCTACACCTATGCTAGGGATAAGTAGATTTCCGACCTCCTGTAGAAAACAATTCTGTACTTCTAGGTCCTAGACCTGTGAGACAATATATTACAGCTGTTTAAACTGCCAAGTCTGTGGTCCTTTGTTGCTGTAGCTCCAAAAACATTAAGAGAACTACAACAAATATTCATTGCAGTTGCTGTAACAGATGAGAAAACTTAAATTCAGAGAGACAAAGCATTGTAGCTAATTTGTTTGTTTCAAGAAAGGGTTTCTCTGGGTAGCCCTATCGATCCTGGAACTCACTGTTTAGACCAGGGTAGCCTCAAATTCAGAGATCTGTTCGTTTCTGTCTCCCAGGTACATGGACTAAAGTTTGCTTACCAGTCTTTGGGACTTAGCAATCTGGAATTTAGCATACTGATCAGGAGGGGGTGTTAGTGGAAAAAAAGCAAAATTGGAAACTTATTCCTCTTCTAGACAGACGTCTAGTCTGCCTGTTTGACTTTATCCCTTCTTCATGGTACAGAACATATTTGCTGTCTGGATGCTGAAGATACAGAGCCAGCTGACCACAGGTTAAAACTTAGGAAGTTGTGAGATCAAATCAATTATTACTTCCATTAAGTTATTTCAGGTGTTTTTGTCACTGTACCAAAAAGTTGACACAAAAATAAACTCATACAAATTCACCAAGTTTAGCTGTGGCTTAAGAATTACATTGTGATTATGTAATTCCAGCATTATATGAGAAAAGCTTAAAGTGGAATGTAAGCCCCATTCACGTTCTTGCCAGTATTACTGGTTTTGGAGCTGTGGGAATAATAAAATATTATCTTAAACAGTTGAGACTCTTAAGAAAAGTGTCAAGAAATATAGAAAAAATGTTCATAGACCTCCAATGAGAACCATAAGCTAGTCTACAGTATTTCCTTGCATATTAATACAGTGAATGAATAAATACAGAACTACAAACATCAAATAATAAGGGAATATAGATTTAGTAAAATTGTGGTAAGATACATACATTTAGAGTTAGCTTTCATACACTGTAGCAAGAAAATAATCTGTGAACAAGCTCAAAAGAACCAAGCAACAATAGTCAAGGAAAATAAAGCAAAACTCTACTGTAAACATGCTTGAGACCTAGGATCACAAAGACATGCAGTGAACATTCTGGTTTAAAAAAACTCATAAGCCCACAGCAGCCATGAAAATAAACCATGAGTACACTGTATCAATGAAACCAGAGGAAATGTATTAATCCTTCATCAGTATTAACAATGTTTTCCCTATATTTTATAGTGTGTCTAATATAGTAGTCCTTGTTTATATTCTCAGAAAAAAAATGGAATGCTAACCCAAATTTTCATTGAGTAAAGCAAACTTAAAAGTACAATGCGAAGTCCTGAATCTCAACCACTTAGCTTCATATTCTTTGCTGTTTCTGTCTTTGGTTTTATCTTCCCCACAAACCACTTGCTCCATTTGATACTTACCTCCTGTCTGAGTGATGACTTGTATGTCACTTGAAAGAGGGCCATCTCCAATTGAGGTAAAAGCCAGGACTTTGACAGAGTATGTTTTTTGGGGTACTAAATTGCCAATAGTAGTGATTTGGCTATCAGCTACATTGTGTTTCATCCAGTTGTTGACATGCTGTGTGGGGTCCATTGTGTAATAAACTCTATATCCTTGAATCTGCCCATTTGGCTCTTCAGGTTCCTTCCACTGTACCAAAATGGTGGTTGAGCTCAACATGCGTGCCTGGACATCCCGTGGGGCACTGGATGGTGCTTGTTCTGAGGTCTGTGTTAATACAGGTTCACTTGGTGGACCTCGACCAATGTTATTGACAGCAACAACTCTAAATTCATAATCCGAGTAGGGGCTTAGTCCAGCAACACTGTAGCGTGTAGTTGCTATCCCATCAATTTCCTTGTATGGTTCTTCAGAATTTTTAGGCTTATGTTGAATGATGTAATAAGAGACAGGCTCAGGGTTCCCAGAGTCCCATGTCAGTGTGATGCTTGTAGCTGTGCTTTCGGTCACTACTGGAGTTCCTGGAGGCTTGGGTAAGGCTGCCGAACAGAAAAAAGACAATAAACATTTTTTAAAAACTATTTCACCTATCACTATACTCTATGATTAGCCTGACAAGATTATACAACTACTGAAGATTTAACCAGATAAAGCAAAGTATCATGTCCAAAGAGGTCAACAGAACATTAAAATAAGTAGGTTGACCAGATCCCATCTTACTTGCACACGTTGATGTAATTTTGGGGGTTGTATTCAAATCTACACTTACTCACTAACTGATTCTGTATAAATTACTTACTGTCCTTTGGCTTTCATTTCCTCGTGTGAAAATTGGACAAGCTACATTACCGGAGTTGCACTGTACTGTGAAGTAGCTGCATTTCATGTGGTTTGCTGTGAAGATTAATGAGCTAAGCCAGAAATATGCACAGAGTGTGCCTGTGCTCTTGAAAACACTAACTGCAATTATTGTAATTTTTATTTCAAATGCTTTGCCACTTAATCCCTGATTCAATAAATTAATGTTGTATATAAATACCAATAAACATTAAATATGGAATATATAGAAATTGAATTAATTTGCTATTAAGAGACTAGCTCTGAACGTTTTTTCTACTTGTAAGACATAAGAACATGATTTTCTTAGTGTCCTGGCTCATTCATTGTCAACTAGACACAAGTTAGAGACTTATCTGTGGAGTGGGAACCACAATTAAGAAAATGCCTCCATGGAATGGTTTGTGGGTAAACCTATGGGAGTATTTTCTTAATTGGTGATTGATATGGGAGGACCCAGCCATTATGAGGAGTGCCAACCATGGACAGGTGGTCCTGGGGCATATAAGAAAGCAAGATAGATGAGCAACCCATGATAAGCAAGGCAGAAAGCAGTAATTCTCCAGGACCTCTGTTTCAGTTCAACGTTCAGGTTTCTTGGCCTAACTTCTTTAATTGATGGACTGTGATGTATAAATATAAGCTCAAATAAATTCTTTCTTCCCCAATTTCTTTTGGTTATGGTATTTCATAAAGCAAACAAAATCCAACTAAGATGCTTAAAAATAACCTATCTAAAATTATTAAGGTAGAACTTTGCCTAGAAAGTGAGGAGGCATGGGTTGATTCTGATCAATACCCACACACCCAAACACATACAGAAATTAAGGGAAGAAGAACAATAATTTTAAATCATGTTTCTTTACAATTATTAAAACTACTTAGGAATTTTAAGCCATACTCAGAAATCACATTTTAAAATACCTTGTCTATAATAAAATTTTTGTATTCTACACTGGATATATTTAGCTAACTGACAAATATCTATATTTAAATATGTGCTTTTAGACGCAAGTACCATAAGAGTAACAGAACTGTGCTGTTTTCTGGGATTTTGTTTTTATGTTATTGTTGTTGTTTGTTTGTTTGTTTTTTGTTTTTGTGTTTTGTTTTTTAAATGGAGTGTGCTGGATGTCTCTAATTTTGTTAAAATGACTGCAGAACCTGGAAAAGATGTTGCTGCTATTGATGCATAACATATTGCCATTATTGCTCTCTCTCTCTCTCTCTCTATATATATATATATATATATATATTAATTGAAATTCAAATATGTGATGAATCCAAGGTGTTTCAGAGAGTGCTCACCTGTGCATGCAAATTTGATTTCATCTTTACTAAGTAGTAAAGTTATATGCTTGCCAAAAAAAAAAAGTGACACACTGGAAGACAAATGTTACACAATTTCAATTTTATGTGTAACCTAGAAATGATGAACTTATGTGAACAGTGAGCAGAATTGTGGCCAAGTGTTCTCAAGACAAAAATCATGAATATGTGTGATATAACATGTTAATTGGTTTAATTTAGCCATGCCATTGTGAACATACTGTATTGTGTATCATAATTGTGCATGACTTTATTTATGAGCTAAATACATGAATGAAAAAATAAATAAATATGTGCTTTTAGAGATCAGATTTTCTCCTTGTAACAGAATAAGTCTCAAAAATATTAAGAGTTCAAGCCATCTTTATTGGTGACCTCATCTGTAAGTTTTATTCTGGATAAAAAGTCAAAAGGCCCAGAAGATAATGCTTATAATCAAACCATTTCCTGTTAAAAAGAGGCCAGCATCACAATGCCTCCTAGGATAGCAGCTAAAAAATATCTAGAATCTTTTTATTTTGTTTTGTTTCCTTTTTTCTTTCAGTTTTTACCTTTATAGTTCATCTTTGTGGTGGGAAATAGGAAGATTCAGGACAACAATGATATAAAAGTGAATATGATAATTATTTGGTGTTACTCTCACTTGTAAATTCTTTTATGTCTTTTGAAAAAATGGTTATAATGAAAATAGGTGGCTTTCTATTTTCTAATTACTAATATCTACATAATTACAATATTTAGCAAAGAGACTTTGCAAAATTAGTTTAAAAAGACATTTACTTAGATATTTGGGACTGACATTTTGCAAAGTAAAAAATAAATTGCTGTTAAATAAGGTTGTTTATTGAACTGACATTACTGGTTGCACTATCACACTTTTGTACAATAAGGCTGTATATCTATAATGTATGAACAAGGATAAGCATGCTTAATACTTTAAGGATACATAAGACATTAGAATGCATGCTGCAGTGTGGATTATGTATACATTTGTTCTTATGGCATATGATATACTAGATATGTATGCTCAGTTACAGATATGATACCAATTAGAACAAGTGTTCTGCCTTTTATAAATTCATGCTTCTCAAATGGGATGATTATTTGAGTTCATTTTGAACTAATTCTAGACACTGCCCGAAAACTCAAATCACCCTCACCATGACTTAATTTGTAAGTCTTTTAGAATTATGTAAGTATTGGGTAAAAAGAAGTGGTATTCACACATATTCAACTCTTTTTTGCTGAAAAGAAAATGTTCACAGAATATAGCACTTTGGTTATATTTAGTACATTTATTGAAGAAGAGAATATTTCATGAGTATTCATATATGCAAGGTGAAGGACAGAACTAATATAGAACAGATTCATTTGCATTTGCTTCTTAATGGTAGGACCATCAAACAGAGCATCTATTATTAGGTCATACTGATTCCAGCACTTTCTCTTATTTCTGTTTTTTTCAGAGAGCCTATGCATATAATGACACTCATTAATATTCTTCTTATGATTCCTATCAAAAATGTGGACCAGCACAAAGTCTGCAGGCCATCCATCTTACCAGTACAGTAGATCTGGTGTAGCATTCTTGATCTATCTGTTCAGTGACTACATCAGACTTGCTGATACATATTTTAATGATTATCCCAATTTAGACTGCTAATATTTTAGGAAAGAATCTGCAAGTGGGTTTGAGTAATAAATCTGTGATCTCACTTCTTTAGGAGGTTAAAACAAGAGATCAATGATGGCTTGCATAGGATACAGTGTAAATTGAGTCACAGCCTGTAGTTCAATGAGAACCTGTCAAAATTAAATATACAAAAGCACTGAGGATGTAGCTTACTGGCAGAACACTCAGTATGACTATCCATAAAAAGGAAAGAAGGAAGATAAGAAGAAAACAATGAAGACAAAGGTGAGCAAAATTGGTCTACCTAAGATGTGGACATTTTATATAATATGACATATGAGATTATGTACTATACAACTGAAGTACTGAGTGATGAATTTGTTTTAAAATTTTAAAATTTAAAATACTGAATCTAGGATGAACATAATTAAGATTTTCAGAGCATGACCTTAGCATACCTTTGACAGTGATCTGTGCTATTGCTTCAATAACGCCGAGTGTTGACATAGCAACACAGGTGTAATTTGCTGACTGTCTTACATCATTCAGTTCTAGGACATTTCTTCCTATTGGCATATCATCTTCAGGTGTCAGGTCTTCTGCCCCCAACATCCACTTCACATAAGGCATTGGTGACCCCACTGCCACACAGGTGATATTAACACTTCCACCTGGCATTATTTCATGATTAGTGGGTGGGATAGAGAATCTTGGTGGAACACGGCGAACTGGAACAAAACAAAAGGCAACATGATAACGTATACAAGGCAAGAATAACACAGCTAGTTAAACACATGACATGCACCATACAGACATGATTAAACAATTGAGTCATATAGTAAATTATCCAAAATCACAACAAAAAGAAAAACTGTGGATAATACAGACCATACAAGTATGGTGTGTGTATACACAGAATCATTTATTTAGTTTAATCATCGATATCTTAGACACATCATACAACAGTTGATTCAGACCTACATAGGCCCCACACAAAAATGAAAAACTATCTACAAATTAACAGTACACAAACACCATGCATAAGATAAACACCAAACTATATACATACATGCATATAATAATGATTCTATGCAGGCATGTATATGCAAAAGGCGACAGGAAGGTCATCAGCATGTGTGAGTATCAAGACTGACTTCAGTTCTGTGTACTCCCAGCTGATATGAATGTGTGTATGGGGTAGTCACATCCCAGCCCTGGAAAACATCACCTTGAGTACATTCAAACAGCAGCTTATTTGCTTTCAGATTCAGAGGGATGCAGACTCAAAACTTCAACTAACGATGGACAAAACACAGAAATGGTGCGTGTGTATGTGTGTGCGTGTGTGTGTCTGTGTGTGTCTGTGTGTTTGTGTGTGATGTGTCTGCTATGTATCTGTGGTGTATGAGTGTGGGTACAGATACTGATAGTCACAGAAGAAGAAACATACAACATCAGTAGATACTCTACTGGATTGAGTCATGCGAGTCATGCACAAAATGGACTCTTAAGGACCACCATAGAACAATGGAAGAATGGTTGGAATCCTAGACAAGAACAAAGAAGAAATAGGCGAAATTAAAAATAAACACAAAGAAATAAGGTAGTGTGTAGTGATTGAGATGTGGACTTGGTTGTGAGTTAGAAGATAACAGGTTAGAAGATTTTAGGGAGGTTGTTACAGTTAAGGATTGAAGACTCAGGGGAGGGGAGTTCACATTCAGGATTCCATCCAGCTTGTATATAAGGTTAAATAGCATCAATGACCACAGAATCCAGTAAGAGGAATTTTATGTCTATATTCATAGTGATGGACACTGGATCTAAAACACACAGCAGGATGTGACATTAAGAGAAGTGACCATATTAAAACATGACACAGAAAAAAATAAAAAGACCCACTACCAAGCAAACACAGTTCAGTGTTCCTGCTTCAGATAATCTGTATGTTGTACTGTGTTTAAACACATGCACTTGGACAATATGAAACTCTAAGGTGAGAAAGAAATAGGTTCTGTCATGGACTTCAGGGACAAAATTTTACACTGTGAGAACTTTAAACCAAAGGGGCAACCTTCATGAGTACACTGTAAATACAGATAGCAAACAATGATTTTTTGAAATTATAGAAAAGGATGTGGAGACAACCCCTTAACCCCAAGAAGAAGGAAAGGGATTCTGTCTGGAAACTCTGGCTACACTTACGATGAGAAAACCTCTGCCTGGAGAGGGCTCGCTGTATTGGTGTTGGGGAGAGGGTCATTCATAGGAAGGACAGTGATAAGCATGCCTCCTGCAGTCAACTCAGAGGTTACCAAAGCAAGCAGGGGCCAGCATAAATTCTAAGGCATCAAAGAATATATCAAGAAAAATGGAGGGTTCAAGGAACAATTATAAAACATCACCTGGGGGCAGCAGGCACCCTGGGAAGACAAATAAAAGGCAGGTGGAAGATGGGAAGTATTGGGGGTAGAGGTAGGAAAGCAGGAACACTGACCAATGCACTGGACCATAGAGAGTTAAGTGTTACCAGTTCCCATGCACCCAGGGATATTGTCTCCCATCATGCACCGCGTCTAGACACCACCAGCAAGCAACAGAAGCCAAGGCCAGAACATTCTCTGCAATTGTATACCATTAACTAAAAGAAGACCACAGTGCAGCTACATTCATTTCATTTGTATTCTTTGTTATTGGTTTAAGTAATAGTTTTGTAAGGTGGGTAAAAAGTAAAAAACACACCAACCTTCTCGCAGCTCTGAGGGATGTAGGGGGGTTTGATGCAGAACACAATGAAATGAGGAAAAGGAGAAAAACAAGGGAAACACAGAGAGAGTAAAAAGGCCATATCAAGGCTTTCAACCACTACTTGAATATCGTTAATTGCTCTAGTTCATCTTCCTACCCCAGCTCAAAAAGTTAGCAATACCTCATGGACTAATGCAGTATTAGGAACAATAGCTAGCATCATTTTGAAATTTTCTATGGAAGAAGGAATGCATGCCTCATGCAGCAAAGGAGGTCACCATTGTGAGAAAAAGGATTGGGGCCCTCAAATAATTTAGGGAAGGAAAGGTTCTCAGTGCACACCGGTCCCAACCCCACTCCCCCTCTACAGACTCCACAGAGAAGGAGGCAAAAGGCATCCCCAGGGGCACAAAATTATCTCTGACAAAAATTTCAAAATCAAGCTAGGTATTTTCTTAAGGAACCCTATTCTACAATACCTTAAAGCACAGGCTGCAACCATTCCCTCCCCCACCCAGGCCTCTTGTGATTATTAAGAGTTGTAGACCCAGAAAAGAAAAGTTTCCACTAGAAAACAAGGCAAAACAAAACCCAGCTCTGAGAACTCTGGGAAGAGAGGTGTACCTTCCAGGTGGGGGAAAAAAAAAAGGTACAGCCATTCCTATGCTCAATATGCAATCATTTAAATACTCATGAAAAAATATGAATGGACCTTTGTAATTCATTCTTACTTTAAGAAGAGCTAATACTACTTTCTAAAATACAGTCATTATCCTATGGCATATAAAAGCATATGTACACATATAAAACTGTGTTTTAATTAGGACAGCATAAGAAGAAGGAATGCTTTTTTTATTTTTTTTTATTTTTTTTAGTGTAGCAACTGTTCTTCTTAATTTGGAGTCTTTATGCCCCTAGCTTCACAGCAGAGGTCATGGAGACATAAACACCTTCATACTTAGAGCGGATTAGTAGTACACCGTGCACTTATGTCAAGGCTTGTAAGGAAACAAATGAGAATCAACAGAAAAAGTGAAAGAAAAGAAGAAAACTTCAAACAAATGCCAAGCACAATCAGTACAGTCAAAATAGAATCAGAAGAAACAATGCAAATAATTATCTACAAACCTCAAGCCTCGTGTAGATTGAAAAACAACAGATTTTGGATTTTAATTTTCTACTTAGTAAACTGATTCAGCAACAGTAATCATTACCAAATCCTCTTGTTAAAGCACTTCCATAATCACACAGACCCTGTGAGCATCTCAACTCCCCCTGAGCCTGACTGGAGAAGCCATGCCAGGGTTATGTCATTCCTACCTCTGACATATAAATTGGCAGGGGCAGAGTAGCGAGTGCCCGCGCTGTTGGTGGCAACACACTCATATTTTCCTTGGTCAGATTCTTCACTCTGTTCGATCTGCAGGGCTCCTGTATGGATATAAAATATATCACCAAAGGTGTGGTCAGAGAAGGCTTTTGAGGTCCAGCAAGCTAAACCTCTTAATAATATGAAAAGCCCTGAAAAGCGAAGGTCCACTCAACGTCGAGTCAATCTCTTGCTAAGTTGCACAGACAGAAAATGATGCGATGAGAAAAACATATAGAGATTATTTTTTACATCATCAATGCTAGCATAAGGAAACAGTATCTCTTTTTTTCCCAAGCAAGACTTCTAGTCATAATTAGCACTCTTAGCTCCTAGACTAATAAAATGAAGATGGGTGAGACTGCTTCAAGGAAGTATGGCTTTTAAATAAAACAAAAGATTAATATTTGGTTTTGTTTTGTTTCATTTTGGCAACAAAAGTGGCGCAAAAGATAGGTACGCTCAAAAAAAACCAGGCTGAGTTTTCAAGAAAGTCTTCTGTGGAAGAAAGCCCAAAAATACGCAGCAAGCACAAAAAAGGCTGCACAAAGCAAAAAAAATTAAAATTAGTCATTATCAGTTATGAAAATATCACTTAAAGAAATAAAACTCCCTTAAGACATGCAGACTTTTAAAGAAAAGAAAGACAGTTTGCCACAACTTACAATCATTTCTGACATTTGCTGAAAAACAAAGAGGATTCACATTAGAGGAGTTTTAAAAAGTTCAAAGGCAAGGCCCAGGCCAGCCAGGAAGAGCCAACCAATCACTGCTTGAGGACCTCTGGATAGATCCCCTAAGACACCCATCAAAATCCACTGTGGGATTAGCAGTGTGGTGTCACAAAACCCCAAGAAAAATACAAAAGAAGAATTACAAAAGAAACGCACACGGAGTCAAAGTATGAAAAACCGGCAATACCACATACCACCAAGAGTACCGAGAACCTGTTTCCACGGCTGAAGGACAGAAGATCCAAAAATCCAGAGACGAGCACCCAAGAAAAAAAGAAGTGGAGAAAAAAGCACTGCTGTCAGACTGTAGAAGGGGTCAGGTGGAGGGAGAGTCATTCTTTGACTTTTAAGACAGTAAGAGAAAAAAGAATTGAAGGACAAAAGCAAAATCCTTTTGAAAGATAAAGACAAAAAGCACACGGTCCAGCTGTCTTCTGCATGTCTGCCACTGTTCTCCAGACCGCCCTGGCTTTGGTCCAGAAAAAGAACAGCTAAGGAAGAAAAAAAATGATCTTTTTTTTTCTCCAGTTGGACAAAAAAAAGGTAAAAGAAGAAGAAAAAAGGAAAAAAAATAAGAGAAAAAAGAAAAAGGAAGAAGAAAAGGAAAAAGGAAAAAGAGGGACAGATGGTAAGCTGTGACTGGTCTGTGGTCTAACGACCGGGATATGCTTTCTTTGAAGCATATCACAACTTAAATAACCATTTTCATAAATAAAGAAATGAACAAAACAAAGAGAAAAAGAAAAAGGAAAGTCCACAATATGAGAGTCACGATCATAACCAAACGGAGGGAAAGAAATCAGGTTGATGGACAGTATGGGGATGGATCTGAAAACAGGACAGAGATGAGAGGGATGGAAGGACAGGGAGAATGAGCAAGATCATTCTGTGAACGTTAGGTCGGCATTCTTACCTCTTATTGGTGTACCACCTGGGTGGATAATATGAATGCAAATAAGATTAGAAAGAAGAAGCATTAGTACGAGAAGAAGGGGGCTAGGGCTGGGGAGAAGAATTCGATTAGATTTACAGAATTAAATAAGGTCTTAAAAGAAACTTGAATTACTATACTGGTAAACAGGAATATATTAGATCGTATCATTAGATCATAAAGCAAGGTGCATTAAACCACAGAGGGCAAAGGTCATAGTAGGCAGAATTGCCTTTTTCAGAGAAGCAACTGAGTTCTTAGGGCTGGGGTCACATAGGGTTAGAAGTATATCTTATAAGCTTTGTATCCTTCAAAAAACAGAACTATACAGCATTTTAATGACATAGTTTAGGAAAATACTGGCTAAGCTATTTAAGTATATATATATAAGTATGTATATATATACATATATATACTATTTGAAGAAATACTACATACTAGCTAGAAACAAACACTGAGGATTGGAGTCTTATGCTACCCATTATGCTACAATCATGTGATTAACTTGTTTACTGTTTTACTTATTTATACAGTGTTCTTAAGATCAACAGTTCTGTGGAGGTATGCATGTGTGTGCCACTACAGAGATCTGGTGCCTACACTGACAGTTAGTAAAATGCATGCCATGCATTTTATTAATAATAATCATAATAATAATAATCATATTCTGAATATGGAAATTAGTGGGGGTGAAGTGCGCTTCAGAACTAAGCACTTACCAATGGATTCTGGAGATTTAAATACGGAGAGAAGAAAGACAGCATAAAAATATTATTATATTCCTCATAATTTGGTACAAAATTTTTCAGAGTTAAAGCTTTATTATACTAAATCATCTATGTTACATGTGAATAGTTATTTATTTACAATAACAGAATGCTAATCTACACAATTCTGCTGACAACAAGCAAAAGAGTCAGTTAACAAGACGCTTTAACATCACAGGACAGGTCAAAGGCTGAGAATTCTGGGAAGACAGGCAGTTACCAACTAAAATTTTATAGCAATAGCACTCCCAACATCATAGCACAGAGATTATTAGTATACATTCCTGTGAAATTATCTAGGGACAGGCTCTGAACTTTAAGAAATGTAGAACTTTTTCTATCTTAATTGACAGAGAGTAAAGGAGTAATCTGGGATGAGAACAGGAGAAGGAGCTGGAGTAAAGAGAAAGAAAACAGCAAAAGCTGGAATCTACACCAAAGCAGACTTCTGTAGATCCAGTCACTGGAGGGGTCAAAGCCCCGGAGCATGGATACACACTGCTATGACTACTGTGTGGGCAGCGCTCACTAACAATGACACAGAAACAAAGTCAAACAAACACTTTCCGTTCATTGGTACTTAGACAAGTGCTTTAAAAAAAGTGGATCTGGTCACTCAAGAATTCATGTTTCTGTGTATTGTGTATTAGTGACAAGAAAGCAGATGTACCCAGACTCACTAAACTTTGCTAATTGGATGAGTTTAAGTGTAGATAAGACAGCAGAAAAAAACACTTAAATACAATTGACTGATTTTCATTTTTAATATGAACATTTTTATATGGAAATAACCACTGGAGCACCTTTCAAGTTTGGAACGAAATCCAATGGTGAAATAAATTTGTTTCAAAAGAAAATGAAGAAAGAAGAAAGAAGAGAAAATGAACCCACCAAATACCGCAGAAAAGCAGTAAATTAAAAATTATTAAGAATACAGTCACAGCAGTGAGCAATGTGGATTAAACAGAAGTCGCAAAACACACCAAGGGAAGACAGATTCTGGATGAGGCCATGACCTCACAAACATGGAAACACATTAAATAACAGAGAAAGAGAAGAGGGAGATTAAATAAATACCTAAAAAAATAAAAAATAAAATTAAAATGAAATTAAAGAATAAAGATAGGGAAAGGTAAACTGTCCAGGAGTTAGTAGAAACAGTGACAAGACCCTACCTGATCGTAACTGCTTAATACGACCATTGTTGTTGCTTGTGTCAACTGGTAAAAAATCTTTAAACCAAGTGATTTCTGGATCCGGATTACCGCTGGCTGCGCACAGCATGGTGGCAGTTCGAGTACGTTCCACCACCTTCAACTGTGGGCCCATGTCAATGGTAGGGAAACCCCTAGGAATCTGATCCTCTGCAAGACAAAAGGTAATACAATTCTTTTAACAAAGTTAATACCATCAGTTCATCAATTTTCATAAATCTGTTCTTTCACTTATTCAACATTTGCTGAAAACTAAGCACAAAAGATACACTGTTGTACCATTTGGACATGGTAGCATGTCTATTCCCAATCAATGCTGTACACAATCTATGTAAGAAGCCAATGAACTAAGGAATAGTGCATTGTGTCATAAATAACTATGGGGAGGTGATACAGGGTGCTACAGGAGCACAGAGTGGGTGAGGAATGGCCACACCAGTGCTTTCCCTGATTAGCAAGTAACCAGAGAAAGTGCATGCTATGGATTGTTGGGAATAAAAGCTTTACAGCTGGCAAAAAGGAAGAGGGAACTTTTGTTTCTTTAAACGATGGAAATATCCTAAGTCTAGACGATTACACTAGCAAACCATAGGATCAAGCAGAATGTAAAATTAAGCATAAGTAAATGAAAGCAAGCACGTAGGTTCATAGGCATATTGAGCTATCTCTACTCTAAGGGGATATGCTTTTCATAACTTTCCAATAATGCTGCACACAAATGACTTCTGTAACTACTGGTTTTGTATTCACACATTGAAATACTAATCCATATGAGAACTAAAAATATGCAAAAATGCCTCATCCATTTTCTGTCAATCTCTAGACAATACTATAATCATTTACCCATAACATTTACATTGAATTCTGTTACAAATCATCTGGTGATTGCCTAAAGCATAGGGATATTATAAGGTTATACACATGCTAGACCATTTTATAAAAGGAATTTGATCTTCTTTTCTCTCTCTCTCTGTGTATGTGTGTGTGTGTTTGTGTGTGTATGTGTGTTCTGGCACTAGGCCTCCTTAAACATTAAGATAACTATGACACTATGACCATATGGATTTTTTTTTCCAAGAAGCATGTGGTTCAACCAGGATGAATTCTTTTTTTTTTTTTTTTTTTTTTTTTGGTTTTCCAAGACAGGGTTTCACTGTGGCTTTGGTGCCTGTCCTGCCACTAGCTCTTGTAGACCAGGCTGGTCTTGAACTCACAGAGATCCACCTGCCTCTGCCTCCCCAGTGCTGGGACTAAAGGCATTCGCCACCAATGCCTGGCTCAGGATGAATTCTTCATAAGGAATTTCAATTAATCAGAAAATCGAGAGTTATTTTTTTGCCAAAGAAAAAGAAGGAATTCCTGATTACTAACACAATATGTATTCTTATTCTTTACAATGAGAGAATATTTTTCAAAAGTCTTGTAATTTAAAAGAGGTGACTCCTACATTTTGAATCTCTAACCCACTTAAAGATAAATTCTCCCTACCATATTGAAATTTCTCTAGACATAGATCATGAGAAATTGTATACTGGTAACCCTCACCACACCCTCAACACTATGCTCTTAGCAATAAACTAACTTGGCAGTACTTCCAGCCAAGTAGAAAGTATTTTTCACATTAGCCCTACTTGAGATTTTCTCTGGGTGGGTAACATCTCTATTAACACAGTTGTCAAACATTTGACTTCCAATCAGCCATGGTATTAATTTAATATATATATATTCCTTATGGCCACTAAAACACCATATTCTAAATGGACTTGTAAACATAAACACAAGTGCACAAACACAGTGAGAAATCCTAAGTGAGACATCTGGCTACTTCTTGGTTCCTATAAGCTCCAGGGTCCATTTCATCTGAGACTTCTAAATAGGTAGCAATTCCAATTTCTACTGCAGAATCTCCACTCTGATGCTGTTACCATGTGGTCAGTTGGCTCTCTGTTGTTTCTGCCTTTTCTCTATAGTTTTGGTATAATTCCATCTCCAATACTCGGCTACCCAAGTTCTTTGTTAAATCAGGTCCCTATCCTCCATATGGAAAGCCCCCTCCCCCCCACCCCCCCGTTGAAATCAACTTACTTCAAAAGCTTTTGCAATCTCCTTCGAACACATTTAATCTTTTTCTCACCAAAGCTACCGGAGCAACAAGCAGGTAAATCTACCATTTATCCCTGTAAATCATGTCTTATTTATACCCAGATATCCTGACATCATAATAATTAGGATTTTAAATACCAACGTTTTCCAAGATTAAGAATTTTTGGTAAGGGATAAACATAATAGTTCTGGACTCTTCAGATACCTGAAAGAATGTCAAATGCTACAAATAAATGGGATGTTTTTGTGAATAATCCTAGTATATTGCAAGAGAGAGCTGATAGGCTAATAAGTCAAAATACAGACTGTGGTAGACAGGCTGTCTATTTGAGTTTAATACCTGCATTTAGGAAAGACAACTTATTATCAGACCAGGTCTTTGAAGATTTGAATGGATAAAAAATTAAAACAAGCAATTAGTAAATTAATTTAAATCAAGCACATTTAAGTTGAAAGATAAAGTAGTATCATACTGTGTTTCTTCAAAAATTCAAATTCCTGTCCATCCTCAACAAAGTAGAGGTCTACAGTGGCCAATGTCAGATACAGTTGTTAGGACTTTAAAAATGGTTTTTGAAATCTCAAAAGCAAAATTAAAAATTAAAAGTTGAATTCCATCATGGTATGCTTTATGTCTTTATAGGTTTTTTCAATACATTTACATGTACAGTACAGTTCTAATGTCGTTGGAGGAAACAAAAAATAAAAAAGCAGAAGGATCAATAGCTTCTGAACTGCACATATTATTAAACATTTCACTTGGCAGCTGTTTGCAGCAAACTGCTTCAAATGATAAAAATAATTCACCTCTTGTGCTCAAAAGAGCCAGGCATTGCCTTCATCATTTAGAAATTAGATTTCTGGAAAAAAATCTTAGATGTAATTTTTTATTTTCCATTTTCTGGCAACCAAGTTAGGTTAATAATTTTAAACCTCCATCTTGGGTTTTCTGAGTGGTCTGTGTTCCACAAGGTCTGCATCTTCCCCTACCAATTGCATGCAGATACATTAATATTGCTTTCCTGATCCCTTTCACATGTACACATTTCTAAACACCCAGGACAATAGTCAGACTCATCCATGCAGTATGTCACAGACACTTACTAAGGGCTCTTCCCTAGGAAATCTATGGGAATGAAGGCCCCATCTTAGAGGTATCTTGAAGCAAAGACTTGTGGCCTCCTAACCAGTCTAATACATTTGCATCTACTTTCTTTCCATTCTTGGCTCAAGAAGAACATTCTAAAGCCTCCTTTCCATGTACCCAAGTACATGGCAAAAAATACATTTCTTGCATATTAATTTACAAGGGGATGCTAAGAGAATTTCTTTCTTAGTCTTAATAAGGGTAATTAAATTCTATCCACCACCCTTCCTTGCACAGAACCTCTTTGAATCTACTATCTTCATTAAATTTTCATGAGAACCATCACAATGTAACAGATTCAAACAGCCAGAGCTGTTACAAGTTGACAGATGGGGCTTGCTTCCAACTTGACTGTCAGGTATTTGGCAATAAAACTCAGTATTCAACATAAAATAGACGGTAGAAATAATGAAATTTCTAATTGGAATGCTTATCTCAGTGGGTGTAGTTTAGAAGATGTTAATTGCTTTTTTATCCTCTATATTTATTAGTAATTTATATAAAACTGCCTTGGCCATTTGATAGCACAAGTTTTGACAGTTTATCAAGTCAGAGGAAACTTTGGGCATCAAATCAGTACCGTTAACACCCTTACCAAATAAACACTCTTAGGGAAAGGCAGCTATCAAAAATTAACAAACCATCCATGTTAGCACTTTTAAACTTTTACATGAGGTGAGAAGAAAAACATTTTGTCCTATTCATTAATGTGCTCATTAAGGTTTAAAGTGCCTTACTTATCACCGTTCTGTATTAATATTCAATCATGCAGAATTAGCTTCTAATTCATCAACAATTTAAATCAGACTTGACCTTCAGGAAACCATTTGGTCTGCTGCTTTGAGAGGCCATTAAAGGGCAGATGACTACACCCTTGTGCTCAGTGAATCATGCTCACAAGCACACAGACACACACACACACACACACACACACACACACACACACAATTGTGGCAGGCATGGAAAAAGAGCACAAGCACTGAGTCTGTTTATGTCTTAATGAAATATGCTGATAGGAAACTTTCCGTTACACTAAAGAAAGGGAAATGTGAATGTCAGCATTTTGCTGAGTTAATTTACCATTGCGGCCCAACTTAACGACATAAATAGGACTTGAAAGGTATCTGTGTGAAAAGGGATATCACTGTTTGTAGAGAGTCATGCTTTGGATAGCGCTGAATGCTATTGCATAATTTTCTGGGTTAAATTGCTTTCATCATTCATCCACAAATAATTTTATGAAGGTCTTTACTTTCACTCAAATTCCACAAATATTTAACCTTTCTTATTTGAAAGGAAACCACAGAAGTCTAAAAGATCTGCTATGGCCACAGAGTTCTCCTGAGGTGGCCTTGAAGAGTTCTTATTACCTAGTATTTTCAGAGGTTTTGCAGGGTGAAATCGACATGACTAGGCCTTTCACTCATTTTTGTTTTCTCTTTTAAATTTAACTTCGTTATTAGTTCTTTGGAAGTTTCACATCATGCACCCTAATTCCACTCCCGGTTCCCCTATATCCGCCCCCATTGCAGTGCCACTCCACAAACAAAAAACAAAACAAGGAAGCAAACAAACAACAAGAACAAAACCAAACAAACAAACACTTCATTTCTCCTTGCTTCCCACCTCTCCAAAACCTCTTCATTTGTCCTGGTGGCATTGGGGCCCTTGATGTGTCGTATAGTGCACCCTTTGTCATACCAGCTTTACTAGCAAATCTTCGTTGCAATAAGCACTGGTATCTTTCAAGGCCTCTGGTTTCTGGTACACAATCATCACAACATCCTCACCTGAACTCCTCTGGCATATACTGTGGCTGCCCTGAGTCTTGGGGATCCTTTGGGTATTGTTCCACTGGATCAGTCTCTTCACATGTCCCAGCAAGTTCTAGATGGGGTAG